GCACTCACACAGGCTGACTTTACGGGGGGGGGGGTCCTTCTTTCTCCTTCCTATTCCGCTCATATTACAGGAAACTGATCTGAGAACCGTCAACCAACAACCTGAGAATCGTTTACCTGAGACTGTTCAATTAAGACAGACACACAACAACTCTGAGGAGCAGCTCAGGTGTTAATCCACACGTCTTCTTCTCCTCCTCCTCCTCTCCAGACATCAACACACGACCGGGAACAGCCGGAGTCACTGCATCCGCTTCCGGCAAAAGCCCGGCCGCTGATTGGACAGGACTGACGTCAGTAAAAACGGATTGAACCCGCCTCTCAACTAGATCCATTGAGAAGCTTCTGTGTGTGTGTGTGTGTGTGTGTGTGTGTNTGTGTGTGTGTGTGTGTGTGTGTGTGTGTGTGTGTGTGTGTGTGTGTGTGTGTGTGTGTGTGTGTGTGTGTGTGTGTGTGAGAAATATGATATTATTATTAGAAGTAGTAATAGTATTAGTAGTATAGTCACACACACACACACACTATATCAGTGGTGGACAAATCGTGATCCGTGGACCAAATCTGACCGAACTATAATAATCTGGTCCCCTGACAAAAGGTAATTATGATTTGAATCTGTAGATATATTAATATAAATACAGCAGTTAGGTCCATTCTTGTACCAACCTTGTAACATTCTGTTCACAGATATACTATGATATGTTTTGACCTCTTTTCAGTGTAAACCACATATATTCACATTTAATAGTTTCTATATGACAGATGAAAGTTATATTGTAAACTGATTATGTAAATAGAGTATTTTATCATGAACTTTCAAAAAAGAGCCATGAATTGTCACCTTTAGCCTTTGAAACTGCACCAGATCTCTTCCACACACTTGTTTTGGCAGGGTTTTTTTATCTTGGACAATTTGCAGCAGTCCCTCTGTGGATTAAAGATCTTCCATCTTGTTTGTCTTCAAGTGATTTCCAGACCATCTTGACGATGTTCCAGACCAGCAGGGCTCCGTGCAGAGCACCCCTGCTGCAGGTCTCCTGTTTGTGAAGCGTTCAAATACAGTATCTCTGAGTTTCACAGGATTTATTGCATTGCCCTCATTGTGACGAATTTTCATCTTCCATTACACTTCAAGGGTTTTCCCCCATGTCGGCTCAGAGATTGAGACTTCATGGTTGACCTTGTAAACAGCCACACAGAAAAATCTCAACATGTTCCTTTGATGAACTTTTTATCCGAAAAACAAAATACAATCAAAATCGAGTATATTGACTCTGTTATTTATCCCCATGAGGTGATCACAGGTCAATCAGCAAAAATAACCGTTCCATGAAAATTCTCTCTATGCTTTCTTTTGTATGATAAACCACAACTGTGTTTTTACTGGTATAATATTGCTGTATTTGTATTACTGTTTCTCATTACGTATAGAGACTATAAATGCATAATTACTTTGAATAAGTTGTGGTATTATGTTGAGGATGGTATTTGTCATAATGGTGTTATACTATTCTGCATGTTTTACAGACTTTTGCATTTTGCCCTTTTGTTAATTTTATTTATTTTGTCTTGAGATTGAAGCATGCACATTTTATCAGAAAGGTAGGACTATTATGTTAATATTTTAGATATAAGGATGATAATAAATGATGAGTAACCTGCCTGACCTCTGACAGTCAGCAAGAAATGAAAAGCTTCTCCTCTCGACCCTCCATCTTTCCAACACAAACACCTGACACAGCATCAGAGGTGAAGTGATGCTTGTTGTAATGAGCAAAGAGCAAAAACCTCCCTCGTCTGATCACTTTAATAAACTGCAGGAGAATACAGCCGATAAAATGTGAACATGATGGAAGTCAACAATGAGGCTTCCACTATTAGAAATTATATTTTTGCTTAAATGTTCATGTTATAGATAATATTTTAACCTGGAGACATGTATCTGCACCATTTTTATTTTGTTCCTGCCTTTGTTTTTTAAATTTTTTTAGTAATATAGTAAATTGTTATTTTCTCCAGAGCAGGTGAATATAAGCTGCAATAATATAATCACAGTTTTTAAATCATAATTTGGAGCATGCATGTTTTATACTGGATGCATTTCCTTTTTATTCTTGTCAATATTATTGTTGCTATCATCATTGTTATGGCAGCCTTCATTTCATCAGCCTTTTTTATGGCTGAACGAATAAAGGCTTTAAAAGCATGAGCACCAGGCCCATGCAGGCAAATGGCTTCATCAATAAGATGTGATTGGGCCTACATATATATAAAACAGAGAGCATGTTTCCTCTCCATATTCACAATGTACTGATAACGCATCTGAGACAAATTAACCATGATATTGGATTCCATGAGGCGTTTGATGCCACTTTCAGTCTTTATTGTGGCTGTGGATAAATGGTGATTGTCTCATATTGACATTGACATTAAAGGTTTTTCTTCTGACAGTAATGAGGCAGACAAATCAGACCACGAGCCATAAGCAGTTTCACACATTTCATGGAATTCGACCACTTGTGCCACTTTCACCTAAAGGTATTTGTTGCATTAAAAAGAGACAGTGCAGGTCCCTTGGAATTGCCTTTTCATAATGAACACATTTGCCGAACGTAATTAATATATAAGCTTTCCCGATTTGTCACTTTGATTTGTATTTTAGTTAATTGTGAAAGTAATTACGGAGCAAATTAACAGCTTTCAGGAGAGACCGAGGTTTTAGGGTCCGGTTCCATCTTGGGCGCCTTATTAATTTTCTCTCCCCTAGATGTGATGAAAAGGAGCGATAAATCTGCTGATCGGTGAAGGCCAATACTAAATGGCTCCATATTTCACCGCTGCTTTAATAGAAATATTCATGCGAGGCCCCTTAATGAAATTAAACCCGAGGTGGGGACAGGGCGCGCAGCTCGGGCGCACGGCGACCAAGAGTCTGACTGTTATAATAATTATTGTTATTATTATGATGCAAGCTGGCTGATAAAATGCATTTAATCAATGGGGAAACTACAAAATAAGACTCCCTCAGTTCTGCTGCATGTCCAGAGGTGAGGGTGGTTATTTAGCCCTTCACAATAACATCATAACTCTCTCAGCCTTTCTCTAATGTGGATGTATTTTATTTTTCTGGTGATTTAAACCAAAATAATCAAAAATACATTTGCTTAAAAGTTAGTGGCACATGGGGAAAAACATGCCAAAAAGATTTGAGACCCCCTCATCGTGCGTCATTGTACCATTTCCCCTCACAAACAGGTTTGGGTGTCTGTAGGTCTCCCTCTCTTGCATTTCAGTTATGCTTATGATTCAAATTTGCGTAAAAGAAAGTGGCACATGGGGACAAAGTGCCCAAAACACTGGAGACCCCTCAGTCTAGCATCATGCGTCATTGTGCCATTTCCCCTCAAGAACCATAGGACTGGATGTTTGGTGTCCACATCAGTGAATTGTCTCCCTCTCTCTACCAATTTTTTCCACGTTTCCATGCGCGCCCACGTCCCGCGCCCACATCAATCTCCCCGTTATCATCCTGTAATTGGTCATGATCATCAAGGGCCACAATTAAATGGCGATCCTTTACTTGAAAACTACCCGGTGACTTGTTGATTTCCCCCGAGCAAATAAACGTCCCGCGGCGCGCGGCTGGCTGATGAATTGACAAAAACTAATCAGCTTTATTGGTAGACAGGTTAAGGGCAACGGGGTGTCAATAATTCTCATTTTGACCTCCTCTTCCATTAACTTTAAGTGGCTTATTAGACCCAAGTCACCAGGAGCCACGGGCCTATTACGTCCCTCGCCTCATCACACTTGAAGGGTTTCAATTACAAATATTTTAGCCGCAGATTGTGCCAAAATTTGACTCGTTTTGACGACTGACCATCGCTTTTATCTAAGGTTAAAATGTGTCGTTGTTCTTTATTCAATACGGAAAACACCAACAATATTTCATTATTACAGGGATTTAAAAAAATTAAGGATTTTAGATATTTCTTGTTGCATAGTCCATAAATCTGTGTTTTGCTGATAACATCGTATTAGAGGCACACGGGTGTAGCCTGATTGATTTGGTTATACGGCTCCATTAGAGGAAGTCAGTGTGCGTCTGTCACCTCCAGGTTTGGGGAGCGACAGAAGGAGGCTTTTACTTAAATTTCCCAGTTGGCCTCTCAGGGTGCCCCGGCTCAAGATGTTCCGTTTTTACGCATGGTCTTTCAATTGCAGCAGCTTATATATTAATTTAATTTGCTCTGAAAATATTTAGCACTATGGAAACAAATACCAGTGGTGTCATATACATTTTTTTGATCGTGTTTTCTCTGTTTTATGATTTAAAATTTGAGAAAATGTTCGCCGAACCATCTCCAATACTGAGATGAACCATGAAGCAGAGACAAGACTATGGCACACAAGAAAATTTCATTAAAAAATTTTGGAATAAAATAATTGTATGATAATAAAAATGATTGGATTTTACTTTGGATTTAAAGAAAATGAAAGAGATGAACGAATGCATGAATATTGTTTTCTATTCTGTTATCTGTATGTCTGTGTCAATAAAAACTATTATGCTACTGTACTTGCTCCTGGCCTTGGTTAAATTGTTGAAGCATTTCTCTTTATGTATAAATGCAAAGTGTCAATCAATCCCAAGAAATGTGCAGCACATGTATTCCAATGAAAACTAATTTATTCCTCCCCTATATGATTAGGATATTAACTTTGGAAAGTTTGTCTCGATAGACCCTAAAGAAACGTATATTACTGTGTATAGTTAAAGATAACATCTAGTTATATCAAATCTTTCTGGTGTTTGTTGTTTTCCTATAACAGTAATACTTTATGGAAGCGTCCGGCCCCGTGCTTTACAGTGATTACAGCAGAGTGGCGGTGTTGGGTCCCACACGCAGCTTGGACCAGCCCCCTGCAGACGGTTGCACCAATCGCCTCCATCTGACGGGGATTAAGTGTGACACGCAGCTGCTCCCTCACACTCCGGACCACATCATAACTTTTGAGAGGTGGGAAAACGGCTCTGACTCCTCCGTCGTTCACCAGCAAGCACAGGCGACACGGAAGCGCACCGAGGGGCCCAGATGGAGAAATCCAAAAACTTTCGCATCGACGCGCTTTTAGCAGTCGATACACCCAAGGTGCAGACCTCCCCGCTGGCGCTGGTCACTTCCCTGTCCTCCTCCATCCCGTCGTCCGGGAGCGTGGCGGCCCAGGAGATCAACACCAGCGTCGAGTCTTTGCGCGCCGAGACACCGTCCCCACCGAGGATGTCCTCCTGCGGGCTGATCCCCAAACCGGGCTTCCTCAACAGTCCGCACAGCATGGTTGGATTACATCCGCAGAGCACCGCAGGCATCCCCGCACAGGCTCTCTACGGCCATCCCATGTATACCTACTCCGCTGCTGCGCTCACGGGCCAACACCCTGCCTTGTCCTACTCCTATCCACACGGCTCCCATCACCACCACACCAGTGATCCCATCAAACTGACAGCCAGCACCTTCCAGCTGGACCACTGGCTCCGGGTCTCCACAGCCGGGATGATGCTGCCCAAAATGTCTGACTTCAATTGTGAGTATAGCTGTTTCTTTTTGTGGAGTGTAATGACAATATCCTGCGTCTTTTATAGTCCAAATAAATATAGAACTCAGCCAGAAACAGACCCGGGATTATCTAAAGCAAAGCAATATGGTCCATGTGGCCATTTAGCTGATAAATATGAATGAGAAATAGCCCAAATAACGCAGGTTTGGGTGATGCTGCTTGAACACATAGCGTGTGATACTGAGCTAATCCAGATTGGCATGCATCCTCGTTTAATTTCAATGTAAAGTCGTTTTTGGTGCACTCTCTCTCTAAGGATATGAAGATGGTCTGAATGAACAGGCTGTCAGTGTGATGGTTTTCTGAGAGGAACTAAAATTGTCAGATAATGGACAGTGGGAAAGTAGCAGAGGAGTGTGAAACCCACAGTCCACATGCTGTTTGCTCACCAGATACTGCCTTTTTGTTTCCGCTCGTTTTAACAGATTTGTTCAAAACGCAATGGCAAATAGCTTCTCTATGGACATATTCATAAGTGGACGACCTTGTTGCCTAAACAGGGATCTCGGGGATGTGGGAAATTACAACATAACAACACAGAACTGGCAATTATATCCTGATTTTAGTGTAATGTTCTTGTTAGGAACTTGCAGATGTTATTAGACCCTGATTACTGCGGTAAAACTGAATGAAAATTTGAAATTGATGGGTTTTTTTCTTCCTGCAGCTCAGGCGCAGTCCAACTTGCTCGGCAAGTGCAGAAGACCCAGAACTGCCTTCACGAGTCAGCAGCTGTTGGAGCTGGAGCATCAGTTCAAACTGAACAAGTATCTGTCGAGACCGAAGCGTTTTGAGGTGGCCACGTCCCTGATGCTGACAGAAACACAGGTAAACGATGTCTGCGCACACTGCGTTTATATTGAGTTTGCTTTTATTCGTACATTTTCTATGGCCTTAAAAAATGGCCAGGGAGTTTTTTTATGGGTTTTAATATAAAAACAATACATGAAAGGTATATCGTTGTAAAAAAAAATTGAGAAATGAATGTGAAATATAAGTGTTTTGTTTCTAAAAAAAATCCAAGTGCCATCCCTCTACTTGTATCTAAACTGCAATGGGAACTGTCAGTTCAGCCATTGCCATCTATTTCATATTTTACTTGATAGAATTTTTTTGTTAAAAAATAAAAAAACTGATTTCAAGATTAAATAACCTTTAAGTCAGGTTTTCGATGTAAGATAATTGTAACACCCTAGAGGTCAATGTCAGGTGGAATGGTGACCTTTACGCAATCTTTACGCATAATTACGCAAAGATGTATATTCTTCTTTTGGGGATTTTTACGTAGTATTTTTAAGACATATTTATGTCTTCGTCTGGAAGTGCACACTAGCGAGGTAACGAGTATGGAAATGAGACAGGAAAGCTTCTGACGCAGTGGCCACCGGTCGGCCTCCCTTCTTCTGCAGTGCGTATATGTCTAAATCAAATAACTAAAATAGTTTCTCCTCATCCTTCAGGTCAAAATCTGGTTCCAGAACAGACGAATGAAATGGAAAAGGAGTAAGAAGGCCAAAGAACAGGCCGCCCAGGAGGCCGAGAAGCAGAAGGGCAGCAAGAGCGGCCAGGAGAAATCTGACGGACTCGAACAGTCGGATTATCACAGCAAGACAGACTCAAAAAACGGCAGAATAAAAGACTTCAGGGACAGTGACGACGACGAGGGCGAGAGTTTCATGTACAACTCGTCAGACTGCTCATCGGACGACGAGAGGAATCACGCCAGTGACATAAGTCCACAGCCTTGAAGCTGGAGAAATAAGGATGGAGGATGATGATCTCCATTTATAAAGACTGTGGGGGATTCTCGCTATAAAATGCAGTTGCATGTAATCCAACCTCTAATCAACTACATGGAATAAATGAGCATTTGTCATTAAAAAAAAGAAAAGAATAAAAATTAGGTCAAAAATAAATGCCCATAATTGTCATAATAAACAAGCAATAAAAAGTGGATATTTAGATTTTATAACGCACACACATCACTCAGCATATAGATAAACTGTGCAAATACAAAAAGCTGAAAACTGGATCAGAACCTGTACTTGTTGTGATTCATTCAATAGCCCACACAGCCCATAGTCTGCTGCCATTCCTCTTATTTTGGCCTTATTTTGTTCTTTGTGGTGTTATACTTCAGTATAGTGTGTCATGTCACGCTAAAAAAAAGTGTTATGTTTATTTTTCTATACTGTATTTATAAAATGGTCATAACAGTGCATGCTAAATTATTGTTTAGCGTCTCTCTCGGTGGAAACTGTGAAATAAAATGCTTTTATATAAAATTCACGCAGTTGGTATTTTGGCGCAAGTCTTTCGCCCAGTCGCTTGATTAATGACGCACACTTTGCAGAGTTTCGGGCCCTGATGCGCAGAGACTTGTGTTGTTCTCCTCGCTCTGACAGGTGGGGTCATGGGAATTACTGTTAATGGCGCTGTCGGATCCGTGCAAACGTGCAGTGAGAGCAAACAGCGAGCAGGCCGGCAGACGGAGGAAACATTTCACACCACACTAGCAATGGGGCTCGTATTAATAAAGCCTTTTAAACGGCGCGTTAAGCGACAACTTGGCTGCTCAGGCACTATCTTCAGGAGTGAAATCATCTCGAAATGATTCACAACTCCAGAAATATTTTAAACATTAACATCTACTTATCAGTGTGAGTGTGAGTGATTCAAATGTCACTACACAATTACATTCTTGTAAAAAAAAAAAAAAAAAGTGTTGGAAAATATATGTAGGATTGGATTCAAGATTAGCTGATAGGACTTCACTTAAATTATAACTACAAATTCAAAAGTAAAATTATGATGACCATAGTTAATGTAAACATTTAGAAACTGGCCATTAAAAAATTCCTGCAAATGCATGGTTTGCATCTCTTCCATTCTACACAGTACATTTATTCATTTAAGGTGCATTATCACCTGCTATATTTAATCCAATATGATCTTTAGATATTCTTTATTTTATATATTATGAAATTCAGCAATGATTCCCACTGTGACTGAGCCATTGGGAGAATTTAACACCATAACTCTTTGTGTGTGCTCACCATGCGATAGTTATTTTCTAGAAAACTGCACAAAACGGTCTCACTTGCTATCTTTGTTCCCGCTGTCATCAGCGTTAGACTATAGCAGGGGTTGACTGATTATGTGCCATTTGTAACAGGATTACTGTGGGATCTGCTGGTTATCTTCAACTGTTTGCTTTAGCTTCAGCGGACTAAATCAAAGTTCAGCCGAGGGTCAAGCCCAACCAAGAGTGCACCAGGTAAAGCCGGTGGCAGCTCTCGGGCTCACGGCTGCAGACAATGGCCAGTGTATGGACGGCACAGTGAGACCATTGATCCCACTATCTCCACTTTTTAACTGGGGACTTTTCCTCACAAGGACCTTCCATTTCTCACCGAAAACACCCCTAGTCCATGTGCCTGTTTGTGGATGGAGGGATGCTCTATTCTTCATCAAAAATCAGGGTCATACCTGTATATGAAAACCCTTTTTACTTCCTGTGACTGGGGCTTACTGTGTGGTTTGTAGAGCAGCAGAGGACATTTCCTCTGGTTGACCTTGGTGGCCCATTCCTGACCTCAAACCGCGCTCTGATGCAGGCCGCACCAATGGAGCTAATTAATAGGAGCAAGTATCAAATGTAACAGAACGACTCTGCTATGCTAACAACGCGGGATGATACTGGTGTCAGCGAGCAAACAGAAAAGGCCAGACTCAAGACCCGGGGTCATTTCATCAGGGCGTGAAATCACTGAATGAACAACGCCACCGTCCCTCTGTTCTGACGCCACTTTTTTATGTCACACTCGCAAGTGGAAATATATTCAATAACATAAAAAGATAGAACTGTTCACTGACCAGTTGTGTTCAAGGCTGAATAAGATTCTATTATAATGCATTTATTTGTGTTAGAGTGTAAATAGATGCAGTAAAACTCAGAAAAATGATTCCAGCTTTCTGAACCTTGTGATATTAACTCTTGCTGCACACTGCCTCCATGAGGACAGACACAGAAAAAAACATTAAAGAAAAACTGAGGAAAAGAAAGCGGTTTCAAAAAATCCTTTTCTCAACAATAAATCAAAGCTTTTGGCTTTTGACTAATGTTTAACTAATTAAATAAATATTTTCCAGTGCCAACATTTCAAATTAATTTTGTTAAGATATAATACCGTGGGATATTTCACCCATGTAGAAGCACCAGCACGCTGTATCTGGGAGTTGAAATATAAAAAAATCCAATGCAATGCTATTAGATAATTGAACATATGCTAAAACCATCAACCATATCTAAATCCTCTATAGAAAAAAAAGGCAAGAATGTCGATTTGATAGTAAAATCATATTTGTTTTCTTATTTAAAATAAAGTGTAGGGTTCAGTTCTCTGAATAGATGCATTTCACTCCAACAAGCCGTCTTGTGTTGCACAGTTCTGGTTTAAAGTAAGTCTGTTGTGTGTTTTACAGTTTGAGCTTGGCTTCTTTGGCCTCCATGGCCTTGGTGGCGACCTGGGCGCGCTCCGACAGCATCGCTGCTTGTTCAGCTGGTCCCTGTGACTGGGCATTCTTCAGCAAGAAGTGGCTGATGAAAAGCTTCAAGCCCTCCCGCAGCATTCCGAGCTTGGGAATTCCTGAGATCCTGGCAGATGGAAAACAATGAGGGACATTGATTTTCAGACGTTCACATAGTTGCAAGCAGCAAAGAGGAGACGTTTTACAAGATGTGGGTTAATGGAGGTTAACGTGGCTCAAAGGTTTAAATGGACTTTTTAACACAGTGGCTCTGTGGATGTCAGGTTTGTCAGCAGGATTACTCAAAAACTGCAAAACTGATTTGCATGAAACTTGTTGGAAGGATGAGACATGAGTCAAGAAAGAATCCATTAAATTTCAGGGTGGATTTTGAAACAATTTTTCACTTCCCAGGGAATAATTCATGGATGTTGATGGTTCTATTTATTGGTCTTATTTTGCATCAGTTTGCATGTTTGGATTTCTAAGAGTTAACTGAGTGCACAATGAATCTCACCTTCCAAATATCATGGCTAGGTCCTCCGGCTCAGTTTCTTTCAGTAGTTTGGTCAGAACCTGACGCAAGAAGCGCACTGTGGGTTTATCCAGCTCCCCAAACTCAATTACCTACACAGAAAAATCACAGAGGTTACTGTAATTAATATGATTAAATTCACTCTACATCATCAAATATATCAAAGTATTAAAGCTTCAGGCTGTACGTCTCTTACTTTAAGTATGGAGAGCGAGAGGCACTTTCTCTGGAGAAAGAGGAAGACCAGTTGGACCAGATTGTTTAAGCTGTTGGAGGGAAGGTTGGACAGCTCCCTGAACTTGTCCCATAGGCTGAACTGGAAAGTCATCTAGGAGAATACAGGACATCAGTCTGAGGGATAGTATGACAGCAATGAAGGACACCCAGCACTCAGATAGTTCTCAAATTATCAGCGTAAGGAGCCCTCTTATCCTGCACAGGTGATCCTCTCATCCTGATCCAGTTTACATGTGAAAAGCAAACGTTCCCAGCAGCCGGGGTACGAGCTCTTTGATGAGGACAATGGTCATCAGTTTCTGATGCAGACACCGGGGGACGACATGGCAGCAAAGTAGGAAGTGTGGTGTTTCCCCCATTGTTTGTCGTCAAATAATGTAAGAGGTGAGAGAGGTGTGAGACTCCCACACTGAAGGCCACAGGCAGGTCACACACAGATTAAGATACTGGGTGGTCAGAGACACACACACACACACACACACAGTCACACAGACACACACCCACACACACACACGTGTACAGTGACGTAGCCACCAAACCTTTAAAAAGGAACAGTTATTTCAATTTCGGTATTTTTATTATTTCTTACATAAATTATAATTCTGAGAATTACAGAAAAAAACTCAGAAATTATTTATAGGTGAAATTTTCCTTTTCAGTATTTTTAATATAACTGTGATTGAAATGTTTTATAAAGAATTAAAATGTCACATATGTAATATTATGCATATAGACTTCAAGGTCACAATTCAATATGTTTAATTAAAAATAACCGTCTTGGGAAATTGTTAATTCCATTTCCCAATCTGTTTGTGTTGGTAGTTCATAAAGCCTTTGTGGAACTGAGGGATTGTATTTAATAATGTTAAGTGCGGGAGAAATGCATTAGGTTCTGTTTAGTTAAGCTTGTATGTGAATGAAGTGTGGAGTCTTTCATGGTGAGATTTAGCTGGGGTACCTGGAAGCGGCGATCGTGGGAGCAGAATTTTTCTCCCAGTACAGCGTAGAAGGCATTGAAGGTTTTTTCCTGCAGACAGCAGTCCATCAGAACATGTACGATCTCTCTCTCCTGCTTGTCCTTCAGTCCCATCCTTCACACACAACAGAGAAAATCAACTGAAACTCAAATCTTCTAGCTGGGTCACGTGGAAGTAAAAATTGCTGCAATGCAAATCTTTCGTTCTGTTTTTGGTCGACCAACAGTGACAAACCTCAGCAATTTCTCAAATGCGTCCAGGTAATCTTCGCTGGTCATGAGAACACAAAAGATGTTTCTTCTGACTTCTGTGTTCATCCGCTGTTTCCGAGCCAGTTCTAAGACTTTGGCACTAAACTGAGACAATAAAACAGAGACAACAGGAAAGTGAGAGATGTTGCTGAGGCCCAACACACATTTCGATAATGAAATTGCGAGTGCACGTTGTTTTGCTGTCTTTGAAATGTTTAAATCTCTACCTGTCCTTCAGCAGTGCTCTGTTTCATGGTTGTGTTCCCTGGTTCTCCGATCATGGGCGCTCCACTCCACGAGGAGCCGACGATCCACCAGCGGCCGACTTGCTCTGCGGCCAGGAGGTTGTCCAGAGAGACCCTCAGCTTCATGTCGCTGCCTGCTGCACTGCGGTGGATCTGTGTTACACACATGCACAAATAAATCTGTCACGAGTGCACAAAACACCAGTTTCGTAATAAAAACACCTGCAGTCCTGAAGTTAAGGGAGACCCACTGGTGATCAGGCTGAAGCATTAGCATGGAATCTATATAGATGGTACTCTGGTGCCACCTGGTGGTAAGGCTGGAAGCTGCTATATAATAATCGAATATTTCCACTAATGTAGGGAAATAAGATTATTTCCAACCAAATACGGTCATGTTGTACAAATCACCCACCAGAGTCCTCTGCAACTTCCTCAGTCTCTCCACAGGCTCAGGATCGTAGCCTGGGATCTTCCGCATATCGTTGTTCTTCAAAGCCAGCATGGTCTCCAACATGAAACGCACCTGAGGACAAGTTTACACATCGATTAATACAAATTTAGTTTCCAAAACAGACACATAGCCAACGAATCAACACACAATAATGTCTTCCAGGATAGATTTGACATATTTAAGAATATCTGCTTCATGAAAGATGAAGTGAAAGGGTGATATTGTTTAGTTTCTTATTCCCTACCCTGGTTTGATCCTGAAACTTCGACCCCAAATCGCTGGCCTTGCGTTGGGCTTCAGAGATGAGTTCCTTCAAAGCCAGAGCGTCGTCCTTCCTCAGGGCAAAGCCGACGTTTCTCAGCACGAACAGAACCAATTCAATGTCTTTCTCTGTAAAAGCTCCCACTAAACGTTTGAGGATGTCGAAGATGAGGACGGAATGCACCACCTGGAAGTTGTAGAGGTGAGCGACGATGGCCACCAGGTTGTCACACTCTTTGCTTTCACTGGGGTTCTTGTACAATTCATCAAACTGCCGCACAACTGTCTCTAGAAATTGGGCCCCGACCTGGAAAAAGATGATGAACATTTCAGATTCATGTGCAGCTTCATTTATGAATGTTAACATCTTAATGATCTCATTGTAAGCAAGTGTGCACACAGAGCCAAGTCACATACTACAGGGAAAACCTCTCCAGAATGTCTGAATGTGTATAAACCCCAAATTAAAGGAAACCTTTACCTCTAAACCGACGGCGTTATGGAGGACGCTGACCAGCAGGACGTGCTCCATCAGCAGTCTGTCAGGCATCAGGGCCGGTGTGACGCAGGCTGCCAGGAGCACCTCAGTCAGGGTGTCATTCATGTCCTTCCTGCTGCAGTTCATGTACATCTCCTCCAGCTGACCACTGATAGATGCCATGTTGGCCTCACTCAACCTGAAAGAGTCAGAGAATTATGGGTGAGTCATTACTTTTAAATTACCTTCACTGCTAATATAAAGAGAAACCGCAGAATATTTGGACACATCGAAGGGACGAAATGGATCATATTTTACATACGTCAAAAATATCTGTATTTGAAACAGGATAAGGATCTTTATTTTATTTTATGTAGTGTTGTGGTGAGACGTACCTGTTCAGCAGACCTTTCACATTCCTCTTTAGTTTTTCGAGCTCAGCTTTGCGTTTGTCATCTCCAGTGTTGCGTAAGTGAGGCGGCACATACTTCCCAGTTGTAGAGGAGACCTAGGAAAAATAAGGGTGTAAAGATCTGTTATATAGTATGAAACATATCAGGAGATAAGAAACATATATTCCAGGTTTGTGGACTCACATTTTCTGGCATGGGTTCTGATGTCTTTGTGTCAGGAGCATCCACTTCTTCCTCTGTGTCTCCTTCATTTTCATCACTCTCATCCATCTCTTCTTCGTCATCCTCCATTTCTTCCTCCTCCTCCTCTTCTGCTCCCTCCTCCACCTCATCATCATCATCCTCCTCAATATCCTCCTCATTCTCATCATCTAACGAAGCCATGTCTTCATCGCTGCCTTCACTTGCAATCGTATCTCCAGGTTCCTCGTCCTCATCCGACGAGGCAGAGTCACTCTCTTCCAACTTTTCAAATTTCACCTTGGCCATGTCCACGTCCTCGTCGTCATCATACACACCCACAGCCGAGGAGCTGGAGTCTAACATACCGAGGATGTAATCAAGTCCATCAGCGACAAAGGACTGTGGGAGAGTTTTTTTGTTTTTCCTCTTGTTCAGTCCCAGTTGTCGCTCCAGCTTCTTTATCTCTCTGTCCTCTTGCTCATTTGCTTCCATGAGCGCCATTTTTCTCGATTCTTGGAGCTTATTCACTTTCTTGCCTTTCTTGGAAGACGCTGGCTTGACAGATTTACCTGACTTCCCCTCCTCAGCTCCAGCAGACCGGCTTGCATTAGTTTTTGACCCCTCTTTACCGGCTCCCTCTGTCTTCTTCTTCTTCTCCTTCTTCTTCTGCACAGGTGGCTGCTCCCCGGAGTTGTCAACAT